GCCCTTGTCCCTGGTGGGAGGAGAAAGACGGAGCTTCCGAAAGAGTACGTCTGCCTTTCTGCAAAAAAAAGTGGAAGAGCAGACGTGTTCCCTGGATGCGGCAGAGTTTTTCCAGGATACCTCCAGTATCCCGGAAAAACCCCATAGTGTAGACATAGCCATATTTAGCTTGTGGTCCACTATGACTCCTAGATCCCTTTCTGCAGTACTACTTCCTAGACAATCACTTCCGATGTCAACTAGTTACTCAACTAGTGCCCCCCCCCCAGCTGCCTCTATTAGAAAGTCGGTTTCCCCCAGCACTGTCTCCGTGGGGAGAAGGGGGAGGGGCACAGCAGAGAACTAGTGGTGCTTCCCCTTTTGAAATGTAGCAAAAGCAGGGCTCTTGTACATTTCAAAAGCAAAGCGCCACTAGCAGCACGGGGAACATTTTAAGAGAAGGGAAAGCAGGACCAGTGAGTGGGAGATGCTCCCTACAGAACTTCTGCTTTTGAAATGTAGCAAGAGCCAATAGGACTCTTGCTACATTTCAAAGGTGGAAGCACCCTTATCAACTAATCGTATAGTCAATACAAATTACATCAACTATTCAATTAGTTGATTAATTTACATTTAACATCCTTAATCAAGATATGTTGATCACATTTATTTTCTAGAAATAAAAATAAAATTTACTTTGAATTTGTGTACCTTTTTCCGATAGCTTTTTTGGAAGAGGCTTTTCCAAAATTTGGCCCATGCGTACTGGGCCAAATTTTGGAAAAAACCTCTCTTTTGGAAGAGCCCTTCTTCCTCATGGGAGAAGGAAGACATCTGCTCTTCTGCCCCCCCCCCCAAAAGCGGTATCCTGGAAAAACCCCATAGTGTAGACATAGCCATATTTAGCTTGTGGTCCACTATGACTCCTAGATCCCTTTCTGCAGTACTACTTCCTAGACAATCACTTCCGATTCTGTATGTGTGAAACTGTTTTTTCCTTCCTAACTAGAGTACTTTGCATTTGTCCTTATTAAACTTCATCCTATTTACCTCAGACCATTTCTCTAGTTTGTCCAGATCATTTTGAATTAAGACCCTATCCCTCAAAGCACTTTCAACCCCTCCCAGTTTGGTATCATCTGCAAACTTAATAATCATACTCTCTATGCCATCATCTAAATCGTTGATGAAGACATTGAACAGACCCGGTCCCAAAACAGACCCTTGCGGAACCACAGTTGTTATGCACTTCCAGAATGATTGTGAACCGTTAATAACTACTCTCTGAAAATGGTTATCCAGACAGTTATTCATTAATAACTACTCTCTGAAAATGGTTATCCAGCCAGTTATTCATCCATCTTATAGTAGTCCCATCTACGTTATATTTCCCTAATTTATTGATAAGAAAATCATGCCAGACTTTATCAAATGCTTTACTAAATAAACAACATTGTGTGAGAAACAAACATCATATAACACACTAAGTAATGCAGTCTCAAGGACAGGTAGCTTAGGAGCTATTGGTGATAAAAATAGGAATTACAAACTGAATGCTCAACAACATGCCTTATATGGAACCAGAAGTATGCAATAAAAAGCAAATACTATACAGAATATTACTGTGTTAAAGTACTAAGAGTAAAGGGATGTTTTTAAAAAGATTTGACAAAATAAAGAAATGGTGTTTAATTTAAATTAAAATGGTTAAAAACAGTATTTTTCTTTGTTATAGAAAATTTTAAGCTATACTGAATCAATATTCAGTTGTAAACTTTTGAAAGAACCACCATAACATTTTGTTCAGAGTTGCCAACATTTCAGAGTTATGAACAATCTCCATTCCCAAAGTATTCATAACTGAGGTTCTTCTGTAACACACAAAAGAACAAAGAAATAATTAAAGCTGCTAATATGACATTGCCAAAGGAAATGCCAATATCTTCCTCCACAAAAATATTCAATCCCTCACTCCGTTTCAAAGTACATATGAGAAAAATTCCACTCGGATAAAGAAAAAAATAAATTAAATCACTTCTCATTTTCATTGCTTCTTAGTCTTACAAGAGATAATATCTACTGCCTTCACCCTTTAATGAAACTATTAAATATTTACAGGAAATGTTTAACATTATGAAATTCAGAATTAGCTATTTTCAGACTTCTTGAAAATAAGTTCTAAGGCAGCAGAAAAGAGAAAAAAAGGTAGAACGTCTTGCTTAATTACTGTTACAATATAATAAAATGCTCACCCTTATTGCTGCTTTATTGCAAAAGACCTTGTTTATGGCAAGCCATGTTGGAAGATCCAGCATGTTCTGAAGCACCTCTTCATCCAGTTCCAAGTTTGTTAGCTGACCTTCCCCTTTCAGTGTGCTCAGATTAATCTTGTCAGGTGACAGGTTTTTGGTGAACCTAAAGAAGAATAGGCATTAAAGCTTAAGTTAATGTTACATAGAACAATTAAAAACAACAAATGGTCTGGTAGCACTTTATAGACTAACAAAACATGGAGTTGTAAATGGTATCATTAGCTTTCATGGGCACAGCCCACTTCTTCAGATGACCAGAGTTATGAGTTTAGGATGTGCACACCCAAAATAAATAGGAGAGGGGCAGGGAAGAGAGGGAGGGAAGAAAAAGGAAGGCGAGTAGGAGTCAGAGAGCAGAAGGAATCAGTAAGTATCTGAAGATTGTAGTTAAAATAAGCAGATAAGATTCAAAGTTAATAGATAGTATCGTTCCTGGCATGGGAGTATACACAAAAAGTTGTTTGAACCTTCAATGGCTGTTAAGTTGGTAGTGTCCCAACCAACTTTCATCACAATTAAGTCCATTAGCATGTGAATTGAATTTGCGGATGAACTCTAATTCCAATGCTTCCCTGTGGATCTGGCTTATAGAACTGGTTTGTGATAAGACAGCTCCTGGAGATCTTTTAAAGAGTGATGTGGAAGACTGAAGTGCTCCCCAACAGGTTTCTGTATGTGTCCTTTACATATATCTGATTTGTGTCCATTGATTCTTTCCTGCAGAGACTGTCCAGTTTGTCTAACATATATATAGCAGTGGGGCACTGCTGGCATTTGATGGCATAGATCAAATTACTGGATGTGCAGTCAAACAACAATTAGTTATCCATTTCATATCTCACAATATATAAATGAGCAAAGTAATAATCTGGAAAGAAAAGACTTCAAAGTATAGTTTGACTCTACAAAAATGTAATAATAATGGCCCTGGGGGGTTTCATTGTTATTTGTCCCTCTATGACTTCCATATCAAATCTGTTCCATTTCCAAGTAAACAAACGGATTCTAACAATAAAGATGTGTTCTTTCTGACTTGTCAATCATAAGAAATAAAGATTCTGTACTTAGAATAAAGATTCTGTACTTAGAATTTAGTTAATTATTTTGATGTGTTTGAGTAAGTCTCACAATATATAAATGAGCAAAGTAATAATCTGGAAAGAAAAGACTTCAAAGTATAGTTTGACTCTACAAAAATGTAATAATAATGGCCCTGGGGGGTTTCATTGTTATTTGTCCCTCTATGACTTCCATATCAAATCTGTTCCATTTCCAAGTAAACAAACGGATTCTAACAATAAAGATGTGTTCTTTCTGACTTGTCAATCATAAGAAATAAAGATTCTGTACTTAGAATAAAGATTCTGTACTTAGAATTTAGTTAACAATTATTTTGATGTGTTTGAGTAAAAATAGAACCCAGCTCATTCTCCTCAGAATTGTTTTGACTGTGTAAGGTTGATAGGAGAAAAAAAAAAGGGTGAAATGTACTTATTTAAAGAAAAAGCAGATAAGATTATGAATATTCAAGGAGCAGATATTTTGATTAAGAAAGCAGCATTTTTACAAAGTAATGTTTTCTGATTTTATTCACAGTTGAAGATGGACAAAATCTTGTACAAATTATACTTAAAACATTCACTAGGATTTAATTTCAGAATTTATCAAGAACATACAGTAGAAATTGTTTTATTAGATAGGATTCAAGTGTATTTACAATGTAGCAATTCAAAGACAAGATTATAAATCCCTACCACAAATGCTTTTGTAACAGAGTATTCTTCAAAGTGTCATGATATGACTACATTGCAATGTCTTCTGTATATTTTTAAAATTAAGAAATCTCAAAGATGACATATACACAGTACATATTACTAGTTTATTAAAAGGCATCAATTTACTTAAATCAACATAACAGCCCACGTGATTGTGTCAATCAATGCACAGCCTAGTAATGTACAAGGCAAAGTTAAGGAGTGCTTTGCTAAACTTATCTATCTACCTAAATTGTTACATCACACCAAGCACACGGTTTATCTGCTTTGGTGGATTAGGGCCTGAGTGCCTAACTTCCTTGGGTTTGGTTCACAACTTGGACTCTCATTTTATAGCTTCAGATAGTAAAAAACATCACATCATCCACTGAATGCGTTTTGGATCTTTTCAGAAGCAGATTGATACTTGTCAGTTTTTGCCAGAGGAAGGGAAAATATTCCCGGAATCACAACTGTGCTGCCATGTCCATGCCAGGTGCAGTTCATATGTTCTCTCTGAACTGAGAGAGACTGGTTCCTAAGAAAACTGTCAGGTTTCCTCTTAACCTAGGTTTCTTTTCGCCCCTTCCCCAGTCCCCAATTACTGCTGAAAATATATGGCAGTAACTTTCCCAATTTGGCTGTTACATCAAGTTCTGGGGCTACCAAAATGTATAAGCACTTTACCCTGCTTAAAAACCAAAATGCCCAACACACATTTAATAGTATAATATTCTTGTCAGGGAAATGGGTATCATGTCACTCAATAAGACATCAGAGCTACACAGAATTCCACCACTGCCTACCAATTTAAGCACAACTTGAAAATATAAAAAGACTATGCAAAATGCAAGAAACAGTTTTACATTCGCTGATTTCAATGCTAAAGGGGACCATTGTGATCAAGTCTGTTCTTCTGTAGAATGTTCCCCTCAAATAATTCCTAAAGTATATCTTCCAGAAGAACAGACAATCTTGATTTAAAACATTGTTAGCAATCAAGAATTCACACGACTCTTGCCATATTATTCCAATGGTTAATTACTCTCGCTGTTAAAATGTACACCTTATTTCCAGTCTAAATTTGTCTAGCTTTCAACTTCCAGCCATTGGATCACGTTACACTTCTCTCTGGTTGACTGAAAAGCCCACTATTGAATATTTATTCCCCAAATATAGACTTGCGGACTGTAAGCAAGTTACCCCCAAATCTTCTCATTGTAAAGCTAAACAGAGTAAGCTTCTTGAGGGTATCACTATATGGCATATTTTCATTTTCACGGCTCTTCTCTGAACCCACCTCTGTTTAACAACATATTTTTAAATTGTGGACACCAGAATTGAACACAGCATTCTGGCAGGAGTCACACCAGTGCTAAATGCAGAGGTAAAAGAGCCTCTGTATTTCTACTTAAGATTCCCTTGTCTACACATCCCAGGATCATATTAGCTCCTCTTGTCATAGAATCACACTATCAATATATTATTCTAGTTTTTTAACCAAAATGTTTTGTGGTACCAACTGAAATGCCTTCCGGATGTCAATGTATATTACATCTATGCTATTATCTTTACAAACCAAACCTAATCTAAAAAAGATCTAAAGTTAGTTTGACAGTATTCATTTTCTATAAACCCATGCTGACTTATCATAAAGAATTAAAGAGGAGTTCCATATCAGCCATTCCATTATCTTGCCCGGGAAGGATATCAGGCTGACATGACTAATTACACTGGTCATTTCATTTACACTTTTAAAAAATTGGAACAGTTTTTTTCTAGTCTTCTAGAACTTCTCCAGTGCTCAAAGGTAAACCAAATTAAAATGTTTTGATTTTTTTTCCTTTTTAAATAAAGAGACTGTTCATTCCTCAAAGATTGTTTAAAGAGATTTCTTTTCTGAATATGTCAAGTGTGTGTTGAAAATAAACTTGGGCAACTTGCTTCTGATTGAATTATATTTTTTTTTCCAATTACCTATCATTCAGAAACAAACACTGGCACAAATGTGGGACTACTGTAAAAGTGACCAAAATTAATTTTCAAGATTATGAAGAAAGAGTAACTCATTCTTTGCAGTAACTATGGTTCTTCAAGATGTGTCCTTATGAGTGCTCCATCTAGGCATGCTTGCACCCCGGTTGCCTCAGACTAGATATTTTAGGCAGCAGTGTCCATTTGGCCACACACACACCCTCCCCATTTCATGCCATGTACCATGGCCAGGGCTCACCAAACCGCGGCGAGGCCCACTCGCCAGCCGCACTGTCCGGTGATCTGCGCCTGTGTATATGT